AAGGGCTGCGGGGTCTGTGAGCGTGTCTCCCTTGCAGGTGTGGGGGTGGGGGAGGAGCTGCAGAGTCTTGGGGGTTTCCACTGTCCTGGCAGAGGCAGGTTCCTGCTGGCGTTTTCTGTGAGTCTTGTGGCCTGGTGGTGCCAAGCGCAGGGATGGGCCCCAGAGGAGGATCACAGTCTCCAGTAAGTGCTGCCCGGTGAGCAGGGACTGAACGCCCGAAGGCCTTCCCAACCCCACTGACATTCTTTGTCCCCTCCTGCCGCCCACTCCGTCCCTTTTCACCTAGAATAGCCAGTTGGCGGAGGGGTGGTCCTTGGCTCAGGGAGTGGGGGGGAGAAGTTTCCCGGGCGGGGGAATAAGGAATGTGGGGGTCATGGGTCTCGCAGTGTAACTGCAAATCCCCCCACCCCCACAGTGCTAACCCACCCGGGTCCTAAGCAGGAACAGTTTTGGGGGTCCCCCACAACACATATGCAAACGTAAATAGGGTGCCCCTTGAGCTGGTTTGTTTCTGCCTGGCGCTATCTGTGCTCATGCTGTTTGGATCCTGCCAGGTCACCACAGCATCTTCTTTCCCCTCAGGATCCCTAAGGGATGGAGCCATGTGGGACGGGTCGCCCCCTCGGATGAGCTCGTGTTGATCTTTGCCCTCAGGCAGCAGAACGTGGAGCAGCTGGCGAAGCTGGTGGGGAGAGTCTCGGACCTCGATTCACCTCAGTATGGTAACTCCCATCGAGAGAGTGGGGCCTGAGGGGTTCTTCCAGAGGGCCGCAGGGCTGCTCATGCAGCTGCCCCCTGCTTCCCCTACCCTGGGCCGTGTGTCTCTGCCCAGCCTGGGCTGTTGTTTCTGGGTTCAGATACTGAGAAGAACAGGGCCTGACAACATGGGGGTGAAACATGCTGTGTTCCAGCTGCTGCTGGGAGCCCAAGGGCTTAAATGTGGACCTGTTTCTCTGTGTGATGGGGAGAGCTGGACTCTACCAGCAGAGCTGCCCTGCTTCGCCCAACTCATCCTGGCACCGCTGCTGTCTTTTTCCTGTGCTGCAGGCAAGTACCTGTCATTGGAGGAGCTACGCATGCTTGTCCAGCCATCTCGCCTCACGCTCAGCACTGTGCACAAGTGGCTGGTGGCCTATGGCATCAAGGGCTGCAAGACCATTAGCACCATGGACTTCCTAGAGTGCGTGATGCCAGCTTGGTAAGTCCCTGGGTGGGGGCAGGGCTGGGCTGGCCACAGAAGCTCTGCTGGCACTGCCTGGATGTTTAGGAGCTACGCATGCTTGTCCAGCCATCTCGCCTCACGCTCAGCACTGTGCACAAGTGGCTGGTGGCCTATGGCATCAAGGGCTGCAAGACCATTAGCACCATGGACTTCCTAGAGTGCGTGATGCCAGCTTGGTAAGTCCCTGGGTGGGGGCAGGGCTGGGCTGGCCACAGAAGCTCTGCTGGCACTGCCTGGATGTTT